GTTCTGTCTCCAAAGTATGGAGGAGACCACATTGTGAGCAGCAAATACAGTAAACTAGATTCAGTGAAGTCCAGGTAAATCCCTGGAAGGTGAGTCTAGAGCCTTATAAGGTGAAGAGGGAGAACGTAAGTGGGCAAGTGCTACACCTTCAATGATGCACAGAAAGATGCCATGAGGGTATGGGGAGGTATTAGGATTGGAGGAGTGGATCAAAGTGTTCTGGAGATAACCATCCCTGCAGAAAGCTGAGAAGGGAGGGGAGGGGAATATGAGGCTGGTGGTAAATATTGGTCTGGTTCATGTATCAGAGCTCCTGATGCTGTTTATGCTCTGGTACTGAGATCTGTCATTGCAGGCTGAACTCAAAGAAAGCCTGCAGTTTATGTAAAGTACCTTCAGCCGAGAGGCTGAACCCATGCAGTTTGGGACCTGCATCTGATCCTCACCATCCGCATTAACCCTGTTCCTCTCTCCCTGGAAGCCTTCAGCTCTGTTGAATGTTTCCGGTTGGAGTGAGGAGTTGCTAGGCTGTGCTGGGTCTCCTTGGTGCAATTTGCCTTAAAACACCCAAACCAGCACAAAAAGTAAAGAAATTTCCAGCACAAATGTTTTGCAGTAGTTTAAAACAAAATCATTCCAAAAGTCAGGCCGCCCACAACACACCACAATGAATTAATCACTACAGTATTGCAAATTTCTGCCCAATTTCAGTTTGACGGCAGGGAGCTAAAATTTAGTGTAGGCAAATTGCACCTTTAAAAAGTTTTCAGTTTTTTAAAAATATACTAATTGTACAGCAGTGCAACTGGTAAATGGTTCTGTATCGTCTTCAAAATGCTCTCAGTTATCAAAGATTGGATTACTCAGAGGTGGTAGATCAGGCAGTCTGATTAAAAATGTTTTTTTTTGTGTGTGAGACAAAGCCATTTTCAACTATTTATTTATCTGCACCAGACTAACATTTTTAAGCACATCAAGGAGTATTTTCAGTATTATATTCCAAAATGCTTCCCAACCCTGGTGATTCATTTAAACCTTTAAAGGGCGAGATTGTAGCTCATTCAAAATCCAGTTAAATAGATTAGGCTGTCTATATCTAGCAAAATGCCATTAATTTTGAACAAAAACGTGAGGAAAAACATGAGTACAAATTTGAGTACATTGATTGTGATCAGAGCGGAAATTTTTCGGTGTCATGTTTTAGGCAGTGAGCGATTAGGATCTGGAATCCCTGTCTGTTGTTGGGGTTGAAGCTGGTTCAATCAAGGCTTGAGTGTAATGAAAACAACAAAAGAGAATTCTGTCATTATTTGAAGAGCCACAAGGAAAAGGAGAGACAGCAGTGAGATTTGCAATATTTTTCTTGGCAGGTCGAATAGCTTCCTTATACACAATCTGTAACTATTCTATGATTTTATGAAACACCAAATTGATTAAGAGAATTATTAATAAAATGTTACTGCTGCACATCACAACAAAGATTGTGAATGCAAATAAAGCGATGAAGGCACAACAGGGTGTCCAGTTCACAGATTTACTGTCAACATATACACAAATACAAGAGTAAGTTTTTGGAATTCTTACAAAGTATTGAAGAAAACATCATTAAAAACAAGGTACATTTAAAATCAGTATGAGATGGTCAAGCGACCATAATGCTGGTGGTATGCAAGCTTATATTGATGAAATTTCCTCTAACCTTCTGCAAGAGAATGGTTTATAGATAGTTCAATTCCTTACTGTACCTGTCTATAAACACCTGACCCATTCAATATTACATACACCCAGCATCTTCATAATCTTCTGCACAGTGCATTACCGAATAGAACTTTTAAAAATAACTTTCTTCCAGCCAGTGAACAAAGTTTGCTACAAGTCACTGGCATGTTATTAAAACACATTTTAATGCACAAAATTTAAAATATTAAAATAGTTCCAAATCTAACTTCCTATTCAGGCATTTTAATGCTAAACAAAAAAGTAAAGCTCTCAATGAATAATTCATAAATTTCAATCCAAGAGTCACTTCACTCATCATTATGATCTCTCTTATTTTAAATAATGGTTGCCATTTCATTTTTTTCCGTCATCGTTAACCAAGGGGAGCTTTTCTGAGCGTCCCAGCCACGGTGAAATCGCCGACAGTTTTATCGTGTGAAATTACTTTGTGTGTGTATGTTGCTGACAGTTATAACGGGGGCGCTTGTCATAGTGGGGGAATTGTAAGTGCTAACCAGTTTCTCTTCTGTTCACGGTTCTGCTGATTCAGTCCTTGCAAGTTGTCACCACACTGCCGAATGTTACTTTTGGTTTTCTGCAAATGAGTTCCAAAGTTTGAGGTTCGATTGAGACTTTAACAAGAAGAATGATTTCCCCAGTTGCACTCTAGTTGTCGCTCTGAAAACTGCTTGCCCAGATCTAATTGGTAAACTTCGAGTCGAGTTGGGGGGGGGGGGACAAAATAACTAAAACAACACTCTTCAGCTGTTCTGGCCTTTCAGGTGCAGATGTTTTGATTCAACAAAGAGATGAATTCTGCAAATATTTGTGCTCCTGACTTGCAACTTCTATGAATGGTGTTTACAAGGACAATGTCCCTGTTGTGTCTGTTTCTGAATGAACAGAGCTGCGTTTCCATATGGTCTGTTGCGGTCTGCTGGCTTCCCTGAGATGCCGTTGGCCCACACAGCCTATATCTTTCATAATTCTCAACAAATCTTGTCGGAATCTAACGCCGAGGAATGCATAGAGGAACGGGTTCAGGCAGGAGTGCAGGAAGGCTATGCTTTGTGTAATCTCGGTAGCAATGTCCACATTCTTAAGCGTCTCACAGTCCGTTATTGTTATATTGGCAGCGTCCATGGCTTTCACGATCATCATGCTGTTGTATGGTAGTTGTGAAAGGACAAAAACGCTCACCACTGTCCCTATCAACTTTATAGCTCGGTGCTTCTGAAAGCTCTTGGCCTGGAGCAGCTTCCAAATGATTGTGGAATAACAGAACAGCATGACAGCAAAAGGCAGGAAAAACCCAACAGTAATCTGCATTGCCAGCCCTGCTACTTTCAGGATGTTCCCAGGATAGTTTGTTGAGCAGCTCTGTTGGCTCTCGTTTTGCGAACTGTAACGAAAGTCGGGGAGCGATAACAATACTGCAGTCACCCAGACCACTAGAGAGATTAGTTTGCTGTGAAGAAATATTTTCTGTTTTGAGACGCGTGCCTTTACTGCTTTTACAATGGCGATGTAGCGATCGATGCTGATGCAAGTCAGCAACAGCATGCAACTGAAGAAGTTTATTTTGTAAAAGCCCCTAACTGTTTTGCACAGGAAGTTTCCAAATATCCATCCGAATCTTGCATCTAGAGCCCAGAATGGTAGAGTGCAGAGGAAGAGGAGGTCTGCAATAGCCAGGTTCAGAAGATAGACATCTGTCATGTTTCTCAATCTCTTGTAAAGAGCATATATCACTACTACCAGAATATTCCCAACGAAGCCTAACAGGAACACAATGGTGTAGAAAGGTGGTGTGAAATGCTGAGCAAACTGTCTAACATCTGATTTCCTGCACATTCCACTTGATTCTTCGTCATAGTCATACAGATGGCTGTAGTCAAGAACTGTTGTAAAGAGAAAGTCTTCATTGCTGCCAATTCCAGTTGTTGTTGAAGCCATGGATGGTGGTCTGTTCTCCTGCAATTGAACAGACTGTTGGTTAACCAGAGTAAACATTGCAGTTAGACACTAGGTTCAAGGGCAGGTTTAATTAAGTAAAAGCTTGCAAGGTTCTTTTCACAAGGGGATAATTTCTTAAGATAATTTTATGAGCAAAGCTTGGGTTGCCAAGGAATAGATTCAAATTTTTGAAATTTGGCTTTAAAAAATGTTCTGCCATTACCAAGAAAAGGGCAACTTAGATCTTGATAGGATTAAAATGTTGCTGAAATTTAGGTCAATCTATGTTTACAGCATCTGGAAATATTCACTAACAAAATGGACTGCAGTAGTTCAAGGAGGCAGCTCACCACCACATTCTCAAGCTCAGTTAGAGGTGGCCCAACCAGCAACAACTACATCGCATAAAGATTTTTTACAAAATCTCTAGCAAAAAATATTCTTTTATTATTATTTGTTCACAGGATGTTGGCTGACTAGGCCAACATTTATTGCCGAGCCCTAGATCTTCCGAGGGCAGTTAAGAGTCAACCACATTGCTGTAGGTTTGGAGTCACATGTGGGTCAGACCAGGGATGGAAGCATTTCCTTCATTAAAGAACATTCGTGAACCAGATGGCTTTCTCCCAACAACGGTTTTATTGGTCTTCATTGGATTCTTAATTCCAGGTATTTATTGAATTCAAATTCTACCATCTGTCCCCAGAACATTACCTGGGTCTCTGGATTAATCATCTAGCAATAATACCATTAGGTCACTGCCTCCCCTAACATTGTCCAATTGACAAAAAGAGTTCATTAATTAAGCAGGGAGGAAGGGTTAAGATGTCATGTCTCTGGGTCTTGAAGGATGGTGGAGTTAAGTTCCTAAAAAGCTTCAATATATAAATGTAAACTTTAAGGAATATTAACAGGTCTTACAGCATCCATGAAGATTCCAATATGTCTCTTCCTCAGGACTCTAAAGAAGAGGTATAAAGGACTCAAAACATTAATTCTGTTTCTCTCTCCACAGATGCGGCCAAGTCTGCAGAGATTTTCTAGCATTCCTGTTTTTATTTCAGACCTCTGGCATCCATAGTTATATGCTCTTAGTCCAAGTAAGCTTTACCTGGGCAGGAAGCAGCACATTAAAAATCTACATTTAAATGAGGACAAATCCAAGCCAGCTAACTCCAACTCCAATAATATTAAACAAAGAACTGTGGATGCTGGAAATCTGAAACAGAAACAGAAAGTGCTGGAGAAACTCAGTGGGTCTGGCAGAATCTGAGGAAAGAAAGCAGAGCTAACAGATCTAGCAATTGTTGTTTTATTTCTAACTCTATTTGCCTAACACCAATGAATTGTAAAATAATGGAACTTATTCTTAATTGTAAGGCGTAACTGATTGAGCCTGAATTTGCTGTAGGGGGGATGCAGCCGCAGATTTGCTTCACAATTTACAACCATCTCATCTGTTTATGGCATATTAATTAGGTGAAGGGAATTTAATCACATACTTGAGCGCACTTATAAATGGCCCTTATAATGCAGTAGTAGTGTCCCTACCTCTGATCTGGGTCCAAGTTCCATATGCTCTAGAGGTGCATAATGACTTTTCTAAATAGTTTGATTAGAAAATATCAAGAGGACTTATAAAGAGAAAGTGGAATTCACTATTTCTACATAAACCCTTATTTTAATTTGCTTTGGTAAATTTCCTTTGGGTTTTTGTCCTGAGTTACAGTGTTCTTTTAAGGGGCTTCCTGGCTTAATTTGGCCTATGTTGGTTCATGGGTTTTCTGACTAACTATAGAGAAAGACTATCAGTGAGGACAGCAGAGGCTGGTGTGCACAATCTCCCAAAGTCATGTTTTAAGTTTAGCATTTTATTACTGTACTCCTGTCATCTTTTAATTTGATCCTATTTGCTTCATTTGAGTTTCTCAAAAGAGAGGTAGTTTTATGGTGCATTGGTAGTGTCCTTACCTTTGGGCTAGAAGGTTTATGTTCAAGTACCACCTATCCAAGGGGTGTATCATAACATGTCCAAACAGGTAGATTCAAATAGCTATAGGATCCTTAATGGTCTTGACAAGGAGAATTTGGAAAGGATCTTTAATAAGAGGGCTCTAATGGTGAAGTCTTCACCTGATGAAGGAGCAGTGTCCCAAAGCTTGTGATTTCCAATAAACCTGTTGGACTTTAAGCTGGTATTGTGTGACTTGTGACTTGATCTCAGGAGACAATGAGAGCATTCATCAGAGAACTGCTGAAACTATATCTACAATCAAGTGGGAATCCAAAATTGGAAGGGTGGTTTTAAACTGGAATCCATATGGAGCAAGTTGGAACAGAGACAGTGGCTGAGAAAGGAGTTGACTGTGGACTTAGTTTTAGCAAACTCATGATCAAACATAATGCAATAAAGATAAATTAAAAGATAAACTAAAATCTTGTAGATGAGAAAAAGTTCCTAGGAGAGAAATAGCAGTGAGCTGAAAAATAGCAAAACTGGAAATCTAAAATAAAAACAAAATACTGGGATCAGTCAGAGATAGTAGGAACTGCAGATGCTGGAGAATCCAAGACAACAAGGTGCAGGGCTGGATGAACACAGCAGGCCAAGCGGCATCATAGGAGCAGAATGGCTGACGTTTCGGGCCTAGACCCTTCATCAGAAAAGGGGGAGGGGAAGGGGGTTCTGAAATAAATAGGGAGACAGTGGGAGGCGGATAGAAGATGGATAGAGGAGAGGATAGGTGGAGAGGAAACAAACAGGTCGAAGAGGCGGGGATGGGGCCAGTAAAGGTGAGTGTAGGTGGGGAGTTAGGGAGGGGATAGGTCAGTCCAGGGAGGACTGACAGGTCAAGGGGGCGGGATGAGGTTAATCACTCAGTTGGGCAACATCTGTGGGAGGAGCACCTGATTAATGTTTCTGACCATTGGCATTTCAGAGTTCTCTCAAAAGGTCAAAAACCAGAAACATTACCTTTGTTTCTGTCTCTTTCTCCACAAATGCTGCCTAACCTGCTGAAGATTTTCAGCATTTTCTCTTTCCTGTTACACATTTGCAGCATCTAACCTGCAGGGTTTTAATTCCCACTTTATGAGCCTGCTATGTTCTCTTTGCTGTGTCTGAGATGGGGACTCAGGGATAGCAACTATACTTTTATGTTGGCTACTATTACATTTCACACACAATATACACAGCTCTGTCTGTACTCGTTTTGAAAAAAAACACAAAACGCTGTACCGTCAGTTCAATGTGGCTAAAAGTAATGGATTTAGAAGTGCATTTAGGATCAACTTTCTCGGCGGAGTTTTCACTCTCTATGAATATACATTTTGGTGCAGAATTTAACACAGCTCATGTGACCTTTATGCCCATTAATTTGAAAATTGAACAATTTTAGAAAGAAATACAGCAGCCAAACAAAAAATAGTGGTGCCTGAAAGATCAAAATGGGATAGTAATTAAAATTGTTTCTTTTGCCCTTCAGTCACGAACCATCCCATTCTGTTGCATCTTTCCCTCAAATGAAAATGTCTAGCTACTACTGGTTAAAACAATAAATTAAATCCATTGTAATCATTTGCCTTGGAATTGTCCAAATATAATCAAAATATAAACCAAAAACTTGACATGATCTTCAGGGAAATCCAACTACAATTAGCATGACTTTTTGATGTCCAAATTTTTGCATTGTACTAAAACACCCAAAGAGGTTCTGATGTACTTGCATTTCCAAGTCACTGAAGATTATACCAAGAATCACCGAAAGAATTGTCAGGTCTCATTCCATGAATTCATTAGCGGATCAGTGAAGCCAAGGTTATATGTATATTTTAACTAGGCTTTCACAAAAGCTAGGGCTACCAGTCAAGGGGACTCTGAGGAAATTCATTCCCTTTAACTGAAAAAGAGAGACATACTGTTGAGATTTTCGTCTTGCCCCTATCAAGATGAATGCAAGAATGCCAAATTTCAAGCGATCACAAGAACTTATATGCTGGATAGATCTCCCTTTAATATTCATGCAAACTAGTTTGGCTTCGTACTGATGATAATCTTGCAAAGATGTAAATCTTGTGTGAAGGTTTATTCTGATTCCATCAAAGTAGAAATTACCTCCTGCCGACAATCTCGCTCCCATTAAATGAGTCTGCATTTACACTAAAGCTGCAGAGTCAATGGAAATTGTTTTACATCTACAGTATAGCTACACTCTAAATACACTGTGTAAATAACCCATGCCCATACAGGTACCTGATCAAATGAAATGGCCAGAGAATGACCAGAACAAAGGTAATGCTGAACTAAACTATTACAGTAATATTTTCTGTGCACTGTTTCAAAATATCACATTTTCATCGTAGCACTGTGTGCGTGCTTATCTTAAACAATAGATGCAGACCACTTTAATCCACATCATCACTGCAGTTAAACGCTATAGCAATTTTTTTTGTAGATTGGTGCTCAGTTAGGGTGGTTTTCAGTTAAACGTTGTATTTTTGTCATTCAAACCACTGTCATACAAAGATTTATAACCAGTCAGGTGCAGAGTTTATGAGCACAAGCCACAAGTTAACCACATCCTGAATGCTCCCTGACACTCAAATCACCACATTGCGCATTGCATAACGTAAACAAGAAAACAGGCCAAGTCCAGCTTTGAAGATTTTTTTTTGTCTCACCTTTATTTACGTCTGTTTTCAACATGGTACCAAGACAGAAATTGTAAATTTTTTTTAAAAATCCATCCATTTACTGCTCTTTCTGATTTCCAGGTAGATCTTAATTGAATCTGTCAGTGGGCCTATGAAAAACAGGTGGGGCATTACAGGAACATTACAACAAATAGGAACAGGAAGAGGACATTCAACCCAACAAGCTTGATCTGCCATTCAACTAGATCATTTCTGATCTTCTACCTGAACACTATACTCAACCCTATCCCTATATCCCTGATCACTTTAATATTTAGAAACTGATCAATCTTTCTCTTGAATATACTCGATGTCTGATTCTCCACAGCTCTGTGGGCTAGAGATTTCCAAAGATTCACTAGCTTCTGAGTGAAGAGCTTGCTCCTTGGTTCAGTCCTAATGGCTTGTCTGACTGTTTCCCCCGATTTTAAATAGACCGATTTCGGGCTTATATGCTGCAAAGAAGACACCAACATTATAGCTGCACTCTTTATGTTTCTCCAATGCCAAAATAAGTTTCTCCATGGATTCAACATTTGTTTCAGCTCCGTCCTTTAAAGAACACAATCGATGTCAGTCCTGTTAGATTCTCCAGCCTTCCAGATGGCAAACTGCCGCAATTGTTTCAATTATATGGCTGAACAATCTATTTCCTTTGTTGATTGCTCCTCTCCAGTACTTGGACATGTTGAGCATCAACTGTAAGGCACCTAGATATTTCACATCTTCAACCTTAACTACTTTAGCACTGCTGATGGATTACACTGTGGCAAACATTACCCCTTTTGTGTGCGCCACTTTATTCTTAGAGATGACACCAGCCATTGTTGCTTCCACTTACAAACTTTGCGCAACTCATTTCATATTCCTTGAGCCATTTCTTCAGAAGCAAAATGTCCCTCCTTATGTTTTTTACTGTCTGCAAATTTGAAGGATTCCCATTGAGCCTCCAAAATGGTATTGGTATACCAAAATGGTATTGAAGTAAATGCCTCCACATCAACCATGGGAGTTACCAACTGAATGACTCTTCCACCTTGATCTTGCCTCATATTGAACCGTTATGAGCTTGTCCTTTAGCCTGTCATGTTGGTAAGATTACCATCATGCTCGATGTAGTTTTTCAACATTGTTACTCAGTGATGCTGTTACCTTGCTATACACTGTCTTGCAATTTCATTTTCCCGTTGTACAATGTGGTTTACTCTTGCAGTATGGCAGAGTCAGGGCTATTGTATATAAATGACCCAAAGTGAGGTATAAAGGGCCTCATTTAAAAGTTTGCTAATGATGCAAAATTCAGAAAAGTAGTGAAAAATGAGAAGCCAGTACGCTGAGGACATAGTCAGATTTGGTAAAATAGATGCACAAGACTCAAGGCGGACTAAATTCAATGCAAAGAAATGTGGTAGAAGATTTTAGAAGTAAAATGATGAGAATTATCTTGAATAAATGGTACAATTGTAAAAGGGGTACAGGGACAGAGAGACCCGAGGCTGGATTATACGCAGCGTGCCACAGCAGGAAATATGGTGGCCAGGCCCTTGCAATCATGGGAGAGAGGCCCCATGTTGGTTACCCAGCAGTGGCAAAGCCTCTGACTACCCACCCCCGTCCCCCCTTCTCAGATAAGTCAGAGGGTGGGGCAAGGGCTGACCTAGGATTCCCCACCATGGGCTGTGGGATGTCAATTAGGCTCAATAAGCATCTAATTGGCACACTTAGCCCCGTGTCCTTCACAATTTAATGGTGGTTCAGGGACTAAATGGAGGCTGTAAAGGTCTCCCACACCTTTAGAGGACCAACCAACAAATCATACCGGATTCTCCAGTGGCTTCTCAAAATGGGCAGGCAGTAGTGCTTTGCAGTTGGCCACTCTCTGCTCGGTTAGGAGACCCAGCATTAGGCAGGGAGGTGGCCAATGAAAGCCATCCCCTGCCATTGCCTCATCCCTCCCTTCTTTCCCTTTTCTGTAGCTCCCATTCCTGCTTTCACTCACCTTTCGTCTGGGATCCAACGATGACCATGGACACTGTGTCACTTAAAGCCACCACTCCAGCTGGCACTGGTGGTATGAGGAGCTACCATCGTCTGACTAACCAGCAGCTCTCGGGAGACAGCCTGGCACCTCAGTCACCGGGGCAGGCTCAATCAGACCACATGGATAGTGTTTAGTCATACCTTGTCCACAGAAATAGCTGGGAATTGATTCTCCAACCAGTGGGCTAGACTACTAGATTCTGGCCGAACAGAATCCCAGGCTCTGGTGTCACCAACATCAATCTTTGAAGGTGACAGGACAAATTGTGAAGGTCGCTTAAAAAATAAAATGCCTACTGCCTCCTGGGCTTTATAAATAGAAACATCACTTACAAAACCTTTAAAATCACTGCTTATACCTGAGAAAAATTCAAAGCCAATATTGATTGATCGTTGTTAGGTAAAAGTGTAGAACTGGGCTGGCAGATGGAGTTTAAAATGAAAAGATCCGCCATGAGTTAATGGAATGGCAGGACAGGTTTGAGGGGCTGAATGACCTCCTACATTTCAGCGATGACTCACAACACAGAAGCAAATTGAATAAGATTCTCCATGTAAGTAAGATTCTTCAAACTTTTTTTATCTCAAATCTCTGTGCCTTTTAATTGTATTCAGCCTATCCAGTGAAAAAATCTATTGATGTTTTTGAGACTATAATTTCATAAACTTGGATTCCTCCAGCTCCGTGAAAAAGAAACAGCCTTTCAAAACGCTCTTCATAACATGAACCCTTGTCTCAGGATAACTTCCAACTAAATCCGTTCTTTGGCCATTTCATTTTGGTGTTTTCTTTTCAAGTATGTCATAAAAGCCCCAATTTCTTGATTATCTTTCTTCCTAAGAACTGAAAGTATTTTGTTACCAGATGGTTTCAAGAATGAAAAAGATTAATCAGTGATTTTTGCCTCATGAGCATTTTCACATATCGAAGGGATTCCAATATGAGCGCTGCTCACTCAAGTTTACCATCGGCGACACACATTCCCCAAATCCATTTCTTTCTCATCCTGTAGAGTCAGTTAGAGTACGACCAGGTAGTAGTGTGCAAATTACAAAACATACCTCAAAAACCCAGTCTTAGTTAGACCTGAACTCTTAGAAAAGTTGAGAAAAGTTACTCAACTTAACAAACGTTTTCGATTGAGAACCTCAGCAGGTCTGGCAGCATCTGTGGAGAGAGAAAGCAGAATTAACTCTTTTCGAGTCCAGTAACGCTTTTTCAGAACAGTTCTGCAGAAGGATCACTGGACATGAAACGTTAGCTCTGCTTTCTGTCCACAGATGCTGCCAGACCTGCTGAGTTTCTAAAGCAATTTCTGTTTTTTTTTTGTTTCACATCTCCAGCATCTGCAGTTCTTTGTTTCATTTTAAGCGCTTTTGATTGCTCTGTTAAAAATACCTGACCATCTCAACGTAACCCTCAATCCATTCTTTCAGCAGAAATGTATGGAGCTGAGCTAAAGATCATGATAAGAAGGAAAAGTACGCTGATGGCAGATGTTAGGTGGGTAATACAGTGGAGAGTCAGGCTGAATTGAAACGTTCTGAGGACTGATCAGAAAGCAAATGAGAGAAGTAAAGAGAGGCTATGAGTAGAAGCTAGCCTAAAAGGGAATACCAAAATAGTGAATGGAAAGAGTAAAAGAATGTTAATAGGAGGATTAGAGTCGAACCAGCCAAATGGGGACTTACATGGAGCTGAGGTATAAAATGTAACTTTGTATCTGCATTCACAAAGAAAAAAATGTGTCGCCTAAGCCACAGTAAGAACAGGGAAAAAAATATACTAGAAGGATCTGACTTTGATAAGAGACAGTATTGGTAGGATGTCTGTATTTAATGTTGGTAACAGCAACAGGATAAGATGCATCCAAGGATACTGAGGGAAGTGAAGGTGGAAATTGTTGAAGCATATATCACACTTTCCCAGTACTCCTTAGACTCAGGGATGCACCAGCCCCTGGTTTGAAAAGTGTAAAGGTAAGCCAGTCAGAGACAGACCAGTCAATTTAGCTTCAGCGGTGGAGAAACTTCGAGAAACAATAATTCAGAACAGCACGTTTGGCCACATGACCAAATGTGGGTTAATTATGGGAAACCAGCACAGATTGGTTATGGGAGAAAAGTGCTACCAGAGAGGGTTGATGATGAGGGTGGTGCAGTTGATATGGTACATGGACTTTAAAAGGCATTTGATACAGTGTTGTGGACTTGTGAGATAACTTATAAAAGGGGCAGTAGCAAGATGGGTACAAAATTGGGACAGTGGCAGAAACAGTGAGGTATTGGTTAACGGATATTTCTTGAGCAGGAGGAATGTTTGTTACTGAAGATCCCCGGGGATTAGTGTTGGGTCCCTTGTTCTTCCTTATATATATTAACATTCTAGATCTCAATCAACAGGGCACCATTTCAAAAGTTACAGATAAAATGAAACTCGGAAGCATTGTGAACTGTAAGGAGGACAATTTAGAATTTCAAAACCACCTAAACAAGTCAGTGAAATAGGCCAACAAGTGGCAGATTAAATTCAAGGCAGAGACATTTTGAAGTGATTCATTTTGACAAGGACTGCACAAAATAAGGAGCACCATTCTAAAGGGGCTACAGGAGCAGAGTAGCTTGTAGTGGAAATGTGCATAAGTCATTGAATGTGACAGGGCATGTTGAGAGAGCAGTTACTACAGCTACAATATCCAATATTGTTTGGTTCATAGGATCTCTACAGTGTGAAAGCAGGCCATTTGGCCCATCAAGTCGACACCAACCTTCCAAAGAGCAGCCCACCCAGACCAACCCCCATCCTATCCCTGTAACCCTGCATTTCCCATGGCTAATCCACCTCATCTGCACATCCCTAGACATTGCGGGCAATTTAGCATGGCCAATTCACTTAACCTGCGCATGTTTGGACTGTGGGAAGAAACCGGAGCACCCGGAGGAAACCCACGTGGACATGGGGAGAATGTGCAAACTCCACACAGACAGTTACCCGAGGCTGGAATCAAACGCAGGTCCCTGGCGCTGTGAGGCAACAGTGCTAACCACTGAGTCACTGTGCTGCCCCTAGGGGTATAGAGTACAAGAGTTAAGGGATTATTTTGAACTTGTATAAGATACTAGTTTGGCCTCAGCTAGAGAAATCCATCTGGGTGTCCCACCTTAGGAAGGAAGTGAAAATATCAGATAGGGTAAAGAAAAGATTCATGAGAATGGCTTCAGGGATGAGGAATTTCAGTTATGAAGAAGACACATTGAAGAATTGTGTCTGTTTTTCCTTGGAGAAAAGAAGGCTGAGAGACGATTTGATTGAGGTGTTCAAATTAGGAGGGACCTGGACAGAGTAAATAAGGAGAAAAGAATTGTGAATGAGACAGCACAAATTTAAATTGATTTGCAAAAATTACAAAAATTATTTGAGGAAAAAAAACCTTTTCACACTGCGATTTGTTGAGGTCAAGAATACACAATCTAAGAGTGTGGTAAAGGCAGGTTCAATCATAATATTCAAAAGGAAGTTAGATAGCTAAATGAAAAAGAAGATTGTGTAGGGTTATGGGATAAAGGGATCAAATGCATTACTCATTTGGATAGCTGGAGCAAACAGATGGGCCAAATGGCCTTACTCTATGTTGTAACAATTTCATCTTGTTGCTGGAAGATACATTTTATCAAAACTTTTCATCTTACACGTATCAGGACATTTCACAACAGTGCCAATTCATGAGGAAAACAAACATTTATATTGTATAAGAGAGTGCTAGTTAGGTAGCCAGTGGACAATAATTGGTAGAGACATTGCCATGAAGACCACACCCAGTAATGGGGATTGACAAATAACTTCCAGTCTTTGTTTAAATTTTAAACCCAGCGAATTGACTGATTAATTTGGGTACTGTCCTGAAAAATGAACCAGCGAATGGCTATCACTTAGTTTATCGAGTTGAAACAGTTGCAGTGGGCATACATCTTCTTTCTGCCTGCAAAAGACAGGGTCCTATACATTAGTATATGTACCTTCCAGTCCATGTACATGTGCCACACCACAAGCCCAACCCACAGTCCTAATTTTGTTGTCAGCATAATTCCTTGCACACATGTCCAACAGCAGAATTACATCTAATATTAGGCACTTCATTGCAAGTTTTGCAGGTTGGCTGGGGATGGTCAGTATCTTACTTGTTGTGAACAGCCTAAAGGATATGCTGTTGATATGATTTACCAATCTTTGGGACATACAACCTACATTTCTGGTGTCACATCAGCACTAAAATTCATGTACTTTATTGATTTATGAGATAATTATTGGCTTTTCCCTTGAATTGGCATTCTTGCAAATTATCCTGATGAATGCAAGTTTCAGTTTCAATAAAATGTATCCTTTTTTAGCAGCTCACAAACTGTGTACTACCAAATGATAATTCTTTATTACTTTATTCAGACCCATTAATGTTTACGCTGCAAACAAAACTTCCTCCTGCACCTAACTCCATCACTACATCCTTCTGTTCACTTTGCTTTAATCTAAATTCCTCTAAATGAATCCATGCTATTTGTCTCCCTATGGTAGTGAGTTCCTGATTAAGGATACAGAACTTTCTCTAAATTCTCAATAGTTTTGTTCAGAACTATCTTAAATTTATGGCCTTGATCATTGGTCTCTTCTACAAGCATCTTCTCAATATTTCTTCATTAAACCCCTTCATTGTCCTGATGTCCTCTAGTTAATCACCCCACAGCCCTCTCTTTCCACAAAAGATGCCTAAGTTCTTCATTTTCTCCCAGTTGGTATAACCACTCATTTCTGGTGTAATCTTTAAACATCTTCTTTGCATTATAAGTAGTGAAAGAATCAAGTCTTATATGTGAGACAGTTCTGACTGAATTAACTCATTGTTCCTCCTTTCAAATGTTATTCTAGATTTTTCCATTTTTGTCTGGGCTATTCATTTTGATGAAGCCCATTCCAAATTTTTGTTTGGATTAGATTAAGTTGTGTCATAATATTTAACCTCAATATTCTGTCCCTTTAGAAGCCACATCTGACTTCCTTCCCCTACGTAGAATATATGTTGTCAAGCTCCTCAAGCTTCTTTGACCATGCAGTTTGATGAAGATACGATTTATGTCTTACCTCTATCCACCTGCCTCAGTTCCATTATCTTTAATACCCTTTCCGACAGCCACAGCTTTACATTATCTGCTATTGTGGGTTTCTCAAGGCTCCTATTCCAATTCACTAGTCCATGCTTAAATCAGGTAGAATACTGCAGATGGGGATTAAGCAGTCTCTACCTGGAATTAGGCTAGTTCTACTCCAACACTCTTGCTGATGGGAGATTGGAATCAACTCGTTCGAGCTGGAAATTGAAATGTGAACTAGGCGTGTCTGAGGAGGTATTGACAATTGGCTGGCTCATTAATATCAGAGTGGGCTAAGATATTCCTGCTGGATTACAAGCAGTGAAGCAGTCAGGGGCTAGGAAGGGTCCATGCTGATCACATAATGAGAACCTTACCACTGCTCAATGTTAGTTAACTGTACAATTTTACCTGGGTACTCCTGAGTAGTAATTCCATGCATGTTTGACAGACCCTAAAACAAGTTGTTGCATACCTGTGTCTTCAGACAATATGAAATGAGTGGGAAAATAAGTGGAGAACAACTCACAAAGAGTCCGCAAGGGGATATAGACAGGATAATAGGCTATATTATGGCAGAAGGAATATTGAATCAAAAATCATAAGGTTATCACTTTGGAGAAGAGGTAGAAAAGCAGAATAATATTTAAAAGGAGAGAGACTCCTCAGTGGTACAGAGGGAATTGAGTGTTCTCTACATGCATCACTAGAAGTCAAAATCTAGAATGCAAGCCTTTATTGCAACTGGTACACTGTAGAGGGCCTTAGTGAGACCACATCTAGAGTACTGTGTATAGATTTGCTGTCCTCATTCAAGAAGGGATATATTTGCATTAAAGGCAGTTCAGGATAACTCTAGGATAACTTCTGTGAACGAGGTCACCTTCTGATGAAAGGTTGAGCAAGTTGATCCTGGAATTTAAAAGAATGAGATGTGATCTTGCTTAAACATATAAAATTCTGAAAGGATTTGACAGAGAGGATGTTGAGAGGATGTTTCCCGCCATCAGAGAATCTAGAACTAGAAAGTGCAATGAGAGGTTTCCCATTTAAAAAGGAGGTGAGGAGGAATTTCTTCTCTTGGAGATACATCAATGTTTGGAATTCCCCATCTCAGAAAACAGTGGAAACTGGCTTATTGCAACTATTAAGAGTCAGATGATTGGTCTATGAGGGAATGGGGTGTCAGCAGGAGCTCAAACTGAGACCACAAACAAATCAGTCATGATCTTATTATGTTGAGGGACTAAACAGCCTCCTGCACCTATCCTTTGTGTGTTTTTTCATGCCTGTCTCTGGGAACAGTGTGCCCTTTATATCAAAGCATCCTCTCCTTATTAGTCATTCTGTACTTTGGCTTGAATACAAATGTAGATTTGCACATTTATCAAACAGCCAGAGCCCAGTTTAAAGTGTGACACCACCTGCAATATGGGGAAACATTATTCTGTGCCTAACATTAAAAAAAATCCATGCACAATCTGAAAAATAGGCTGAAATGGAATTGTCCCCAGGAATTGTTGAGGGAACATAAAGCATGAAATGAAATAAAAGAGAGGAAAGACATGTGTGAAGATCTATTCTTCCTAACATCAAAAAGAAAATCAATCTGATTCCATCTGGAAGAAAGTATAAAAATAAAACTATAAATATATTTGAGCATGGAGACTGGACCAGCTCTTCATTGCTGCTTTGCATTTCTCAGTCATTGTTAAAAGTGGGTCAGAAATGATAGCATGTACTATGATGTTGCCTCATCATTAAACCTCTATGGTTAGAGTAAGGTATCAGGGCCAGAATGGATAGAAAGCAAGCTGCAAAACAGGAAACAGAGTGTCGGGGTTAAAGCTAGTTATTCAACCTGGGTAATAGAGGTGTTCCATAGGGATGTGATACTGCGGTTGTCATTTGCATGAATAATTTGGATTTGACAATCAGAAGGACAATTTCAAAATTTGAGGCTGACACTAAACTGGGGGCACAACTAATACTTGAGGGGAAGGAGATACAAGATAAGAAGACGGTAATAAATTTGCAGAAGTGTGTAAGTGACGAATGAATTTGCAAAAAGATACGGGCAAGTCAGTGCAGGAGTTCACACACATCCAGGTGAATAAAAGGGAAAAGGAGCAAGAGCGAGACATGAATTAAAAGACGGTTAACAAAACCATATATAATGCAAGCAAAGCTCTGGGGTTCATTTCTAGAGGTGTACAATTTTAAAACAGAGAAGTTATGTTAAACTTCTGTGAAATCTTGGTTTGACCATGCCAACACATGGGTGCCAGACGCTGTGCAGAAAATCATTTATATGATGATAGCAGAGCAAAGAGGCTCTATCTCTCAAAAAAGACTGAAATGTACAATAGTAGAAGGCTCATATGAACCATTAAAGCAGGTATAAAAATGGCCTGTGTCTGAGTTTTTAATTCTTATTGAAACAGCTTCCTGAAATGTATAAAATCCTGAGAGGACATGACAGGGGTGAATGTTAAACAGATATTTCTCCTCACTGGAGAGACTGAAATTAGGGGTCATGTTTTAAAAATAAGAGCTGTCCCATTTAGATGGTGATGGGGAGATTCTCACTCACTCAGAGAGTCTTAAATCCATGGAACGGTTTCCTTGGCACACCTCCCCATCCCCACCCCCCAACCCCAGAGAACAGCAGACGCAGGATCATTGAATATTTTCCAGGGCCAGTTAGATATCGGGTTGATTGACAAGGGAGCTAAAGAGCATTTGGAAAGACCTTGGTGTGGAGGTCACAATCAGATCATCCCTGAACAGGCTCGAGGGTCGAATGGCCTACTGCTGCTCCTAATACCTATATATATGCATATATCTCTATCCCTCCACACAACATCCAAACCTTCCTTCACCACCATTCAGCGTTTACTGGAAGAGCCTGTGCCTTCTTGCAGACCCACACAGCTCTCACTGAACATACTCACCCAGCGGGAAAATCCAAAATATTCATTCTGCTCTCAATGCAGTGGTCATAGCTTGGAAGCTTGAATGAGCTCCCAAAACTGGTTTCCACTCGGGGTTTTTTTTTAATTCCAGAGAAAAGGAAATTAAAGGCATTAGAATCATGATTTCATTTTATGAAATCTCCTCAATTGGTTTAAGGGTGGACCCTGATCCACAGAATCTCCTGATGACCATTGTAGAGACTATGGCAGCAAATTCCTTGGAAAAAATGACCCACTGTTTGTAAGAGAATGTGCCTGCCCCATAAAAATTATGCAGTGAGCACGTCTCTTCTTCTGTGGAAAATCACAGAAAATTGATTCTCTTACAGATTTATAAACATTCCAGCGTCATGTCTCATTCCACTCTGCTGCTGAGTCTCCACACCTTGCATTATCCCACAAAAGAAGAATTAATGGATTTTACCTTATCAAAAGTTTGTGACCTAGAATTGCACAGTTAGAATATCCCCCACACAGAGTCATGCAGCACGGAAACAGACCCTTCGGTCCAACCAGTCCATGCTGAATATAATCCCAAAAAATCTAGTCTCACCTGCCTGCTACATATCCCTCCAAATCATTCCTATTCACGTACTTATCTAAACGTCTCAAGAAATGTTTCATTTTTTTCAGCTTGACTTTTGTTTAGTCCTGGAGAGTTGAGGCTCGTTAAGTTACAAATAAACACAACACAAAATGCAATCTCAGTGATATTAATGCCACAGGTTTCAGTCAACAGGCCTGACCGAGAGCAGTACTTTGAGAAATGGTTGTTACCTTCAGGCCTTGCTCCAACCTTTGTGTGCTGCTGTTTCTGAATTGGGTCTTCTGCAGCACGCTATGCCGATCACTGCCTCTGACAGCAAAATGGGTCCTTTAGATTTATCTTCAGCTCTTTTGTTTGAATTCCCCACTTCGGCTAATGGGATTTTTAAAACGCTGATCAGCTACAATAACTCTGTCAAACCTATCTTTCGAATTTATGTGCTTAGAATTGACCACAGCATGTGACGGCAGTTCTGAACCACAATAAGACTGTCCTTCCTTTGCTTTTACTTCAAGCTGTTTCACTACAGTACAGCTGCACAAAGTGTGAGGGCTCATAATCTGACACAAGACTAACTAGCAAAAGCTGACAGGTTCTGATACCACCTACAAAGTCCCATATTTTGGAATGACTTTAATTTAGAATTCTGAATTTCCGTGTTATTTTCAGCATGGTGCAGATGTTACCTAGCCCTTGTGCTGAAAATACTGAAGAAACTTGTTCCTTAATACATCCGGGTATGTTTATGCTAGTGTTAGGAGGTCCTGTGGCTCAGTAGGTAGTGTACCTACCACTAAGCCAGATGCTCCAGGTTCGAGTCCCAGTCCAGATCCTGATGGCCAAGAAAGATCTGTTCGTAACACAAGCATCGACCTGCAATTCCTTCCAGCATATGTCAACAGCAAGTGATAAGAGTGAGAGAGATTCATAATCACCCACATGATGGAAAAGAAAGCTAAAGCCTCCATCATCACTGCCCACAGTTCCAGGTAGCAGGATTCCCATCAAATTACTTGTACAGGAACCGAGACTTGCTGTGTGATCTATAATACACCACCATTTGGCACCAAATACAAATTTCCTCAATCTGTTAATAATGCAAATATTAATCTTTGAAACCCCTGAGGATACATTTACAGAATTTGACTTTTTTAAGTGCACAGATGTTCCCTGTATTTATGCTGTTTTTATAGTCACTGTGATTGTAGCAGTGCCTCACCTGAACAAATGAAAGAAGTGTAAACTTGAATTAGCAATTTGCAGAGGTCACCGATTTTACTTGTTGATTACAGGCTCTTCAGTAACTTATTTTAAATCCAAAGGCACAAGTTGTCACAATGGCTAATAACTATTACTTAACTGTCAATTCCAATTATAACTACCTACTGAGTTCCAACTGCATATAGTTGGAACATATGGCCGTATTAAAATTAATGCATATCCATGTCACCTATTCAAAACGTGATTACAATGATTCAATCCCAACTCATTTCTACAGAGTACACCAAACTTAATACCATAGTGCAACTGAAACATAAGTAAACATAACTATCACATTTAGTGAAGCCAATTTTAGCTGTGTGCTTGTGAATGAGCTTCAAGTTAGTTAAAATCTGCAGCACCAAAACAGATCATTCAGCCCATTTGGTCAAAAAGCCACAAAAGATATTTATGCTCCACACCTCCTCATTGAATTCTCCCAGCGTATCATTCTATTCCTGTCTTCTTCACATACTTATTCAATTTCTCCTTATAGGTGACTATGTATTTAGCTTAAATATGCCTTGTGGTAGAGAGTCCCACATTCTCATCTCATAATGTGTAATAGACTAATGAATTTGCACAATAACTGCTGGAGAAGGTATGGAGGAAATAAAGACTTTTTAATTCCTTCTTGGGAGGTGGCTGGGCCTGTATTTATTGCCCATCCCTAGTTGCATTTGAGAAAATTAAAAGTTTGTATACATGTACAAACCGATTCAAGAACAGCTTCCTCCCTGCTGTTATCAGACTTTTGAATGGACCTCTTTAATATTAATGCTGATCTCTCTGTGCACCTCCTTAGCAACTGTACCACTGTATCCTGCACCTTGTTCTGTTACCTTGATGCACTCTGCCTGTAAAGAACTTAAGACATTTTTCACTGTACATCAACTCACATGACAATAATAAATTAATTCAAATCAAAGGCAGTGGTGACCTGCCTTCTTGAACAGCGGCAGTTCATGTGCTGTATGTTGACCCACAATGGCATTAGGGAGGGAATTCTAGGATTTTGACCCAGAGATAATGAAGGAACGGCGATAAATTTCCAAGTCAGGATGGTGACTGACTTGGAGGGGAACTTGTAGGTGGTGGTGTTCCCATGTGCCTGCTGCCATTGCCTAAGTGGCAGTGGTCATGTGTTTGGAATCTGCAGTGCATCTTGTGGATAGTACACACTGCTGCTACTGAGCGTTTGTGGTGGAGGGAGTGCATGTTTATGGATGTGGTGCCAAATAAGTGGTCAATTTCAGCCTGGATGGTATCAAGCTTCTTGAGTATTGTTGGAGCTGCTCTCATCCAAGCAAGTGGGCAATATTGCATCACATACCTGGCTTGTGCCTTGTCAATAGTGGACAGGGTTTGGAGAGTATCCCTAGTCTCTGACCTTCTCTTGTAGCTGTTGTGTTTATGTGGTGAGTCCAGTTGAGTTTCTGGTCAATGATAATCTCCAGGATGTTGATAGTGGGGGAACTCAGTGATGATAACACCATTGAATGTCAAGGGGTGGTGGTTAGATTGTCTCTCATTGGTGATGGTCATTGCCTGGCATTTGTATGGTGTGAATGATACTTGCCATTTGTCAGCCCAAGCCTGGATATTGTCCAGATATTGTTGCATTTGAACATGGACTGCTTCAGTATCTGAGGAGTTGTGAATGATGCTGAACATTGCACAATCATTGGCGAACATCCCCACTTCTGACCTTACGATGGAGGAAAGGTTATTGATGAAGTAGCTGAAGAAGGTTGGGCATAGGACACTACCCTGAGGAACTCCAGCAGAGATGTCCTGGAGCTGAGATGACTGACCTCCAACAACTAGAACCATTTTCCTACGTGCCAGGTATGACTCCAACCAGCAGAGAGGTGACCCCAATACCCATTGATTCCAGGGTTCCTTGATGCCACACTCGGTTGAAATGCAAAATGATGTCAAGAGTTTTCACTCTCACCTCACGTCTGAAATTCAGCTCTTTTGTCCTCATTTGACCCAAGACTGTAATGAGGTCAGGAGCTGAGTGGCCCTGGTGGACACAAACTGGGCATCACTGAGCAGTTGTTGTTTGAGAGCACTGTTAATGACACCTTCCAACACTTTACTGACTAGCATTTTCCAGTGCTTTGAAAACATCCCTCGGTGCTTCACAATCAAGAAGTACTTTTGAAATATTATCGCTATTGGAGTGTGGGCACACAGCGGGATTCCACAGTCAGCATTGCTGTAAATTACCAGATCAGCTGATTTCAACTCAAGTGAGATCTATATATGTTCAGCAGGACACATCACCATCTCCTCTTCATGTGTTAATTTTCCATCAAATGGCAGGTGGGGCCCTGACTTCACTGGATCATAAAATCCTTATAGTGCAGATAGAGGCCATTCAGCCCATTGAGTCTGCACTGAGCATCCCAACAATGCCCCCCCCCTCACTTAACCCCACTTAATCCACATTTCACATGGTTAATTCACCTAGCCTGCACAACCCTAGACACTATAGAACAATTTAGCATGACCAATCCACCTAACCTGCACATCTTTGGACTATGGGAGGTGACTGGAACACCCGGAGGAAACCCACACAGACACGGGGAGAATGTGCTAACTCCACACAGGCAGTCACCCGAGAGTGGAATCGAACCAGGGTCACGGGCGCTGTGAGGCACGAGTGCTAACCAGTGTGCCACTATGCCTTTTGAAAGACAGCAGCTGGAATTTTCCTCTTCCTGGCGTGACAAGGAAGTTGGGAAATGTGGCAAGAATGAAAACAAAAGGTCACAATCCCGATGGGTGTAAAAGTGGAATGGTGTGTGTAGGCCAGGCCTAATCCTAGTCCCTGCACACTGTGTTTAGCCTACATGTTGTCCCCATCACAGTGTCACAGTTCCAGGATGGCTGAGCTCTGAGGCTGTCTGCAGCCAAGGAGTCAGCGTCTGGGAGAGATGAGCAATGCTTGGTCATTATAACTACTTCCAACCTTCTGGAATGTCGAAGAAGCTATTCCTCTCACACATGAGTGCAACTTCACCAGGCCTGACAACAAAATTGGTAGTGGAGCAGGCATTTGAAGAGTGTAAGTGGGGATATACTCACAAAAGCACAAAATATTTACAATAAGTGTCACACATACCGTGTATGTGATCTCAGTATGCTCTCTCTTCCTCTCCCGCTCCTGGTCTCTAAGACCCTCCGCAATTGGGCTGCAAGAAGCCATGCTGTGTAGCTGGCCCAATTGGATGATCATCCCCAGGGCTCAGTTTGGTCTAGGAGGCCGAGCCCTGCTCAGAAGCGGTTCACACTTCACAGTTTGGATTTTTGCTGGCTTTGGCATCACTGGGGTTAGATTGTGGGTCTCAGCACCTCTAGAGTGGCCTGGGAAGGGGGATCCTGTGTGTGGCTCCTCTTCCCTATAGCCTCCTATTGAGACCACCCTTTCTGTCCAATAGGAAGGGGTATTTGGAGTGAGGTCAAGCTCTTTTGCCTGCCATAGATGCTGATAACTCTGGCTAGACACAGTGCACATCTCTGTATGTATCCAGCAGACATTGAGGGGGTTGGACCTGGGTCTCCATAACAGTTAACAACATGTCCATGGACACAGCTAGACCCACACTTGCTAAGGTCAGCATGGGATTGATAATGTTGGTCCTTCCTTCAATTAAGTTTCCCGTGTGCCTTTGGCATCGCTGCCTGCTGTTCCTGTGCCTGTCTGTGCATTTTGACCAAGTCATTGATGGCCTAGAACAGGGGAATGTCTCCAGCCTGGAGCTGAGCAAATGCCTGGTCTCCAGGAGTTCTCCGTGTGCCAAAGATCTGGAGCATTTCTTCCTCAATCGATTGCAGGGAAATGTCAGTGATGTGCTCACCAGACTGTGCTCCCGGGTCTTACTGGGAAAGAGGGACCTCACCGAGGTAACAGCCTTTGAGCAGATGGAGGATGCAGGTCAACACCTTGCTGATGTGTCCTGTGAGGGTTCAGGTCAGCACCTTGCTGA